ATACATGTATTGTTTCTAAAGTTGTTATGTTTGAATATTGGGATTTTCTCGACAGAGAAGAGCTTTTACGAAAGTTTTCGACCTACTACAGTGACGTCAGCTGGTCACGTAATAATGTTCTCATTAGACCCAAGGAAGATTGCTGCCGCCGAGCTTTCGTCTGAAACAGCACCGGAATCGATCGTTTCCCTCACGGTTTTTCGCTCCGGTGAGAATTCAATAAATATATAGATAGATGCTACTTTTTAGGTAACACGTTTTAGGGAGAAATCATGACTCTTCTGCGTCGATAAAACTCAATATGACACCAAATGTACTAGAAATAAGTGAACATCATCCAAAATACAAAAAAAAAAAAAAAACTCCAGATTTGCTAAGCAATATCGTCAATCGCTAAAACAACTCAATTATACTTCGCTGGCAATTACAGTGACATCATTGACCATTTCTTAGAATTGACCTTTGCACTTGCTTCCACATTTCTTGGGCATTTCTCTTGATTCAATGTTCAGTTCTGCATTGGATGGCGATATAACAGCATCATCCGCATTAGTTGACTGGTTTTCAGGTGTACAAGTCGCTTGTTCCGATGTGTTCATCTCAAGAGTCTGTCGTTGTTTCCGACGTTTCAGTGCATCGTAGACAGTGCCAGCAATTATCACAGCAACGAGAACTACACATATAAATCTAGGACAGAACGGAGAATACGACAGATCAGATTGTCATTCTTGTCTCAATTAATTCAATTTTATTGACTTTACAAAACCTCTATCGATACGATATATTATCAAATAAAGGCAGTTTAGTTATTCCTTAACTCACATGGCTGGAACATCGCCAGGTCTTATGTGGTATTCTCTGGCACACATAACGTACGATATTGGTACTTTATCTAGCAGATCTTTAAAACCTAAAAGACAAACACAACTCAAAAAGTCGTTACACTGCCTTGTAGTCCAATGCGAATTATAAAACGCATGAACAATTTAAGAGCGACCATTTTTAAATCTGGGGCGATTTCAGAATTGACAAACGAAAATCTGCATGTCTAGGAAGGGGGGTATATGACCGCAGTCACTCGGGGGCTGAATATCAATAAATACTAACTTAAAAAAAAAAAAAAAAATCATCCGCTATACGTATATAAATAAACAAGTTGTGAAACATGGCACCTAGTAAATCGACACCCTGTCGGTTTCAAATTTCGATTTCTTACTTTAAAATGCGAAACAAAAATTTTAGAGGGGATCAGGTGTTACGTTAATAACCATTGTCCATAATCGCTAACTTGGTTTTATTCAAAACTGCACAAATCCCGCGTTTTCTGATGATATCCGACAATTTCATGAACGAAAATGGCCAGCAGC